AGCCACCCTTGCTCGGCGATAATATTGTTCTGCACGGCTTCTGGATCGGTCATCAGACCTGCAAGCAACTCGTGAGTAGAGGTAGACAAGAGGGCACCACGCTTGCCAGGCAGCTCGCGCTTCCAATCTTCGACTGCAAAGATGCTTCCAACGCAATGTTGTTCAGAGAAAACTGTGCCGGACAAATCGCTGTCCGCCTCTTCTAGCGGATGGGTTTCGTTTCTTGCATGGACTGCCATTTTCTGAAGGGCGCTGAGAACAAGTTTCGAGTACTCGGTCCATCTTTTCATATAACTGTTTGCGGATACGAGCTCTTCTTCTCTATGCGCTGCAAGATTTACTTCCTGAAAAATGATGTGCAGCGCCGCGTATTGTGCCGCGCGGATTAAGTATGGATCACGCAGCGATGAAAAAAACTCCCAATAATCGTCCTCAGCTTTTTTTAGAACCTTTTCTTCGTCTCCCCCAATCTCGAAGCTGCCATCTTCTGGGAAGTAAGAAACCGGCAAAGACCCGGTGCGATAGAGCGTGAAAATTCTCTTGTTGCCAAACAGGGTCCAAGACCCAAACCCAGCCGTGTTCCAATTGAACGTCAGAGAGCTGAACTCATTGTCGAGCTCCGTTTGAAGTCTGTCAAACAGCCCGCTGGCGTCTGGATTGCCATAGGGCGTCGGGTAAGGGAAACGGGCATAGTCAATCTTGTTGCCACTGGACCAGCTCTTCAGCATCTGGTCGGTGATGTTCAGCAATTGCCCATATTCGGTATGGGTAAGTTCCCGGCTTAGCAGGATGGGCGCCCAGTCTACAGCACCTTCCAACAACGGCGCTGATCGGTGGAAGATCAATTCCTCGAATGAAGACGCATTTTCAATTGCGTTCAGCGTTTTTTCCAGATCATCCAGATCCGTGTTTCGTCTTTCAACAGCAGCTTTGATTTCTTTCCCTTTTTCTTCTCCTCGCAGGCTTGCGATAAGGGAAGGGTCCGTAACCTTGCCGGCAAACGGCATCGTTCGCTGATAGCTTTGTGCGAGGTCTTTCTTGCCGCTCGCCGCCAGGGTGAGCACAGTATCGATGCGCAAGGGTTCGGCTTGATCGAGCGGAGTCGTCCGCTCGCGGCCAATCAACAACAGCCACTTGGCATCAGTATCAGTAACGGCGCCAATCATCAGGTCCGTGTCCACAAAGAACCGCCTTAGAATTGGCTTAGCATCATTAAGCGACCTGGAAACAGGCACCATCAAGGCAACGAGACCAGAAGGCTGACTGTAGTAAATTCCATATCGACTGGTGGGTAGCGAAGTCGCCGGCGAGGCTTCTAGTCTCGGTGTTTTCTCCGCAAATACGTCCGAAGAAAACAGGACCTTGTCGGGACCGTAGAGCCAGTCGTGCAGCGAAGCGGAACCAATTTCGAAATTGGGCGGCCCCCATCTCCTTGCGGTCTTGCCGAGTTCGTTCCAGGGTTTGGGATCGAACAACCGGTAAATGGCCTTATAGTCAGTCCCAAAATACTCGTTGTGTATGCTGCGTACGACTTGCTCAATCTGAGCGGCGTCTAGTGCCTTTGTCTGCACGAATATGTCGCGCACAAATCCATCGAAACCGACCGGGTACTCTGCGACTTCTGAGTGTATGAACGCATCTCCATAGATCTCGCGAAGCCAATCTTCCCTAGACTTAAACGCTTTTGTAGGCGGCTCGGTAAGGATGAATGAGCGCGATCCATCAGCTCCTGGCTTTGAAACTATTACGCTTTGCGTAAGGAAAGGTTCTGCATTACGAAAGGACTTCGCGAATTCTCTTGATCCTGAGAAATCATCATCAGATGCTGCGCTTTTAGACGCTATTGCAGCAATCAATGTTGAAGACACGCAAAGAATAACGAATAAATACGCTTTCATGTCGCTTCTCCGCCTGAAACGGTTCATAAATGTTTTAAGAAAAAGTATCTCTCGTCATGATTGTATACCAGTTGAGAAGATTTGTTTCAATTTTTTTCAGCGGGCAATTTTTTGGCCCTTGTCTCGACGCTGAAAGAAACACCTGGAGCAGCGTTCTGTCGGGTCCGTTGCTCTTCGATCTGCAGGTAATTTCGGTACCTCGCGCAACAAAAAATCTACTTTTCTAAATTAAGTTTTCAATTATTTGAATAATAATACCAATAAATGACACATATTCTATAGTGTTTGCATACATACGACGATCTATTTCCAACAGATACTGTAAAATAAAATATTCCCTAATCTTTTCATGCCTGAACCTGAATTCAGACCAAACTGGGCAGAGGCCAGACTGTGCTGTGCAATACTTGCCCCTTGTAAATTGATTGCTCCTCTGAAGCAGCTGATTGATGTGTGCGAAGGCGTTTCTGTCCCTGCTGCTGGAAGTTGCGTACCATGCTGCGCAGGCTCTTCTTTCCTGTTTTCCTGAGTCATACCATGCTCGCACTGGGAGGCGCCTGAAAGGCGGCTTTTAGCGCTCTCGCGCAGCACCAAGATAGTACTGCACAAGCATGTTTAGGCTTCCGGACTTGCGCCATCCCCTGGCTCTGAGCCCGTCATAGACTTTTGTTGGATCGCTGTACGAGGATGCTTCTGCAAAAGATGCGGGTAGCAAAGTCCAAAAGCAAAGATCAAGGTATTTGGCGTCCTTCCTGGCGAGGGCACAGTTCTTGCCCTGCAAATACGCTCTGAAGACAGTGCAGCTCGGGCCTCGTTTGCAGAGTCCAAGAGAGAGCATGAGCGGGTGACATTTCTTGACGCACGCGTCACACCATGGCTGCACCATGTTTCCCCAGCCTTTCAAGCATTCCTTGCATTTCTTCAATGGCATTCGACTCGCAGCATGCAATGCAGCCTTGCACTGCAGATACTTGGCGGTGCTCGCCAGGGAACAGTTCCAGGCATCACCATGACCATTGCATCCATCTTTTCATGTGTGTCAGACAGGCAGCAGAGTCTGGCCGCCTGACGTCGTTTGCCGAGCCCCAGGCTCAGCATGCTTGTTTTATGCTTCTGATATGCACCAAGACATTGTTTATGGCAAGGCGTGGGCATATATGCTGATTCTAGCCGCCGAGGATCAAACTGATGGTCTCCCTAGTGCAGGTGAGCTGCCTTTGTTTGCCTTTCCTGCTTGTCACAACACCAGCGAAATGCTTGAAAGTTCTGGTTTCGGAATGCAAAGCCAAAGATGGGTCGCACTCCCTGAGGCAACCTGCTACATCGTTTGCTGGTGGGCGGAGGTGTGCCTCCCTTGTCGTGTGATGTCGGCATGAGACCAGCGTTCAGGGATTTGAGACGGAGGAAGTTGAGCAATGGCCCCGGATTCTCTCGTCTGCGCACGACCGGCATCAGCGGATCCAATTTGGGCAGGCAAGGTGTCAGCGGCTTGGAAGCGCTGCTGCCAGAGAAAGGTGCGGGCCTGCTCTTGAGCTGTCCAAGCGAAACGTGGCTCATTCGGGAGGTTTAAAGGAAGGTCAGCCTGGTCGCGAGGACAACACATGCCACCAGAAGCTTTCACTCCCGTGCTTCTTAGCCATGAAAAGTGCTGCACTTAGCTGTCAGTGTTGACAGAGTTTCGATCGGCCACAAGTGCCACATCACGTGCTTGGTCCAGGCCTGTGACTCACATTCGACGGGCCGTGGCAAAGGAATTCTGTCGCCGCATCAGGCCAGTCCTGTAGTTAGTGAGAATCTGGCAAAACGGAACAACATCGATCAACCTGTGTGAGGCAGTCAAGGCCAAAGCTCGCCGAACTGCTTCTCAGTCAATTGCGAGAGGCTGGCAGCCACGTAATTTTTGCAGCTACGATATGTCAAAGCGTCTGAGGTGCCGCCTACCGTGCAAGAAGATGAGCAAGCCCCTTACTTTTATGTCTCCCACACACAGATCACAGAGCTATCAATCTGGTTTGTCATCAAGTGTTCAGCCCAGGCTATCCTTGCGCGGAACGGCCTTCTTCCCCTTTGATCCGTACCGCTTGCAGCACTCAAGCATGTTTTTGTGCTTGTCTCAGAGATTGCTTCAACATTTGGCTTGCCAAACCTGAAGTTGATCATTTAGTGACATGTGTTGTTTGGCGGGCCATGCAGAGTGTGCGACAAATAGGCTCGGGATCTACAAGCACTGGGCCCATGAGAATGCTTACGAACACGAGGATTGAAAGTGATAGAAGGTCTTGAGCGTGGTGAGAACGGTGAGCACACTGAGCTTGACATCACTCGGTACCAGCGAGGACTCAGATGTCGAGGACGAGATTGGGTTCGGCTGCCACAAGGCCACACGATCGAGTAGGGCTGCGCATGTTGCTTTAGATGTTGGACACTCGTCAGGGCAAGCCCCGCACCGTGTCCCACATGTCCGAAAGCAACGAGGCCTAAGCGCATACAGTATCTTGTATTATCTTGCAGTACCTGGCCGAGCCTTGTCCCGCGCCCAGCGTGACTTTGCCCCATCCTCCAGGCAGGCTCAGATGTGGATTTCACGGACGAGGCGGACGTGGCAAGCCGCGGTTTCGTACCATCAGACCTGTCCTAAGATGGAGGAACGGACACTTTGGGTATCTCCGTGTCATGTTGTTGCATCATTGCATCATTGGCATGCAATGGACAGAGAGGTGACCTGAGGTCGGTCCTTCACCTGCATTCCGGCCTGGACATGTTGACATGGCATGCCCAGCTCAATTGCCTTCTTGCCTGCGAGACGGGATCCGCTCAAACATGCCATTGATCCTTAGAGTAGTTTTGTGACTCCCTGTTGAAGGCTTTCTAAAGAAAGGGACCGTGACCACGCGACAAGAAGCTTGATTACAGAACCGACTTTCTGAATAAACCAGAGTGCTGTGGAGTTAGAAGTTGATGCATTGCAATTGCCTGGGCTCAAAATGGCATTCCTGGAGTTTGCCTCGATCTACTGCCGAAATGATTCAGCATTTCTGAAGAAGGCTTTTGGCTGATTGTCCCTTTAGCCTCAAGTACCAACATGACCAACCAAACTGCTGACCTAGACTTCCTCTAACTGATGCGATGACGTCCACAAGCCAACTCAATTGCTGAGAGATGCGGGAGCCTTTGACACTTTCAGACGGATTGCGATTTGTGTGTTGGGCCGAGAGCAGCTCCCTGTCCTAAGGTCGAGCACATGCTGTTTGCCTTGTGCTGGTTTGGTGCGCTCCCAGAGTCTATGCACGTGTGTAATGTGTCGTGTTCAAATGGACATCTGTGACAGGCAAAGCTGTGCCGTGCTTGGAGACGAGTTGCCGTCTCAGACGCTTTGCAGTGTGGCTCTATTCAGCAGCTCTTGGCTGGAGGCATGGTTGGGATGTGACCATGCTGAGATCCTAGCAATCGTTGACGTTTGTGACTCCTGAGCAACACACTTTTTGCGAGGCCAATGCTAGTCCAGGCGGGCAACCTTAAGACTTGTGCTGGCCCCTGTGCGATCGTGGCAGGCCAGCCTTCAGAATGGTCCTCATCTGCACTGACACAGGACTGCATGCAAAAACTCATATCTCGTTGCAGCAAAGTGTCCAGCTCATGGCAAAGTTCTGCTGTGAAGCAGGTGAGCTCTGCTATTCCAGAGCTCACGGCGGATGCGCCTCAGGAGCGCGAACAGTTCTTGTTGGTCACTGCCGCAAATATTGAATCACAGAGGTACCTCCGGGCCAGACTTGCAGGATCTGCCTGGAGGACTGTGAGCGATGCAGCCATGGGATTGAGATGCCATTACAAAATACTCCAGGAAGGGGGCGAACTCCTGAGCCCATGCGTCTGCCGTGGCTCGGCCAAGTGCGCTCGGAGCTTCCGGCGTCCGGTGCACCAGATCTTGCAGCGCAGGTATGTCCATGTCGACTGCATTGAAGCTGCCTTTCGAGCGAGAGGGCTCCTGCCGCAGCCTTCGCTCAGAGCACTATGTGGTTTGCCTTGAAGCCTTGCTCTCCTTTGGTACAGTTCAATGCCTCAGAACTACTTGGCTGAGGTTGGACTTGGCCTGTCCAACCTGCAAGCACCACTACGAAGGATGGAAGCCGGGTGGGCAAGTCATCGAGAGTTCGGTCGCTTGCGTGAGGACCAGCAGCTGTGCGATTGGGCACTGTGGCGCTGAGTGAGCAGCAGACTCAGCACTTTGCCCTTGCTGCAAGTGAACCACGTAAACCAGAAAGACGGACGATGATCTGCGACTCAGGTTGCAGACCCGTTATGGCGAGGAACACGCCGCGGGGCATCTCAGGCTCAGGGTCACGGCAATGGACAGGACTGGCAGCTGAGGTGGTTGGAGCAGCTTTGCACAACCTGGGTGTGGCGCAACTTGACAGCGCAGTTAAAGAAATATGCATGAAGTTGCATGACCATAAAAGCAAAGCCAGGTATGGGCTTTGTGGGAACGCTCTTAAAGAGCGAGAGCATCTGGAGAAAGCCCTTGAAATTCAGGACATAGCACGTTGCAGCGTTGTGCTTTTGCAAGGCCGAGAGAATGTTGGATTGCCAGCATGAGTTCATGGTTGAAGGAGCGTGAATTTGGACCAGATCACTGTGATGTGGCGACTACGCTTTCCAACCTTGGCAATGCGTGCCCTCCCGAGCTAGGTTGGCCTGATATGTGGGAGACCTTCTTGGGGACCTGTGCTACCTTCGAAGGGGTCCCCCGGTCCCCAATTGCTTCCGTTGTTCTAGGCAATCATCCTTTGTTTCTCTGACTCATCCTTTGCCTTCGGGTTCCACCCCCATTTTCTCATCATTTGAGACAAAGCTCCTTTTCACTTTGAGCAGCCCAGATCTTGCAAAGACATGAGGTATCCCTGTACAAAAATTATAATCGCTTTGCGCTGCTCACTTCGGCTCAGCAAGAGAACACATGGGTTTGTGGCCCAATAGGGGATGACCTTGTTTTAATGTGCCCCTTTATAATTGGAGGGCCATTTTTTTAGTTTTTTTTTTTTGGGTTTTGTTTTTGTTTTTCAGGGTGGGTGGCTTTCGGCGTTTTGGCCTTTGCGGCTTTTACTTGGGTTTTTGTGGCTTTTGTGGCTTTTCATTTCGCATCCTCTGCATTCACTGCATTGGCTTTTCGCATCCTCTGCATTGCCAGTTTCGCTGCGGCCCTAATTGAATCATCACTTTTTCAATCAGCATGGGGGGGCTGCCGCCCTTTTGGGCCCTTGAATCATCACTTTTTCGATCATCAGGGGGGGGCTGCCGCCCCAACTCCCCCGCTCCTTTAATTGAATCATCACTTTTTCAATCAGCATGGGGGGGCTGCCGCCCCCCCAACCCCCCCGCTGCTTCTTAGACTTTTGGGCCCTACTTGAATCATCACTTTTTCGATCATCAGAGGGGCTGCCGCCCCAACTCCCCCGCTCCTTTAATTGAATCATCACTTTTTCAATCAGCATGGGGGGACTGCCGCCCCCCCAACCCCCCCGCTGCTTCTTAGACTTTGGGCCCTACTTCGAATCATCACTTTTCGATCATCAGGGGAACAAGCCCCAACTCCCCGCTCGGAATGTTGGATCATCCTTTTCAATCCTTGAAGGGGAGCCGCCCCCTAACCCCCGCTGCTTCTTAGACTTTGAGCCCTACTTGAATCATCACTTTTTCGATCATCAGGGGGCTGCCGCCCTAACTCCCCCGCTCCTTTAATTGAATCATCACTTTTTCAATCAGCAGGGGGGGCTGCCGCCCCCCCAACCCCCCCGCTGCTTCTTAGTCTTTTGGGCCCTACTTGAATCATCACTTTTTCGATCATCAGGGGGGGCTGCCGCCCCAACTCCCCCGCTCCTTTAATTGAATCATCACTTTTTCAATCAGCATGGGGGGGCTGCCGCCCCCCCAACCCCCCCGCTGCTTCTTAGACTTTTGGGCCCTACTTGAATCATCACTTTTTCGATCATCCGGGGAGGCTGCCGCCCCAACTCCCCCGCTCCTTTAATTGAATCATCACTTTTCAATCAGCATGGGAGCTGCCTTCAATCCCCAGCTAACTTCTTAGACTTTTAGGCCCCTACTTGAATCATCACTTTTTCGAACATCAGGGGGGCTGCGCCCCCCCTCCCCGCTCCTTTAATTGAATCATCACTTTTTCAATCCCAGCAGCAGAGGCTGCCATCCCCAACTTCCTTTGCTTCTTAGACTTTTGGGCCCTAGCAGATCATCCTTTTCGATCATCAGGGGGGCTGCCGCCCCAGCTCATTTCGGCCAAGCCTGCGGTCGCAGCCCGTCAATCAGCATGGGGGGCGCGCCCCCAACCCCAGCTACTTCTTAGACTTTTGGGCCCTACTTGAATCATCACTTTTTCGATCATCAGGGGGGGCTGCCGCCCCAACTCCCCCGCTCCTTTAATTGAATCATCACTTTTTCAATCAGCATGGGGGGGCCGCCCCCCCAACCCCCCCGCTGCTTCTTAGACTTTTGGGCCCTACTTGAATCATCACTTTTTCGATCATCAGGGGGGGCTGCCGCCCCAACTCCCCCGCTCCTTTAATTGAATCATCACTTTTTCAATCAGCATGGGGGGGCCGCCCCCCCAACCCCCCCGCTGCTTCTTAGACTTTTGGGCCCTACTTGAATCATCACTTTTTCGATCATGAGGGGGGCTGCCGCCCCAACTCCCCCGCTCCTTTAATTGAATCATCACTTTTTCAATCAGCATGGGGGGGCTGCCGCCCCCCCAACCCCCCCGCTGCTTCTTAGACTTTTGGGCCCTACTTGAATCATCACTTTTTCGATCATCAGGGGGGGCTGCCGCCCCAACTCCCCCGCTCCTTTAATTGAATCATCACTTTTTCAATCAGCATGGGGGGCTGCCGCCCCCCCAACCCCCCCGCTGCTTCTTAGACTTTTGGGCCCTACTTGAATCATCACTTTTTCGATCATCAGGGGGGGCTGCCGCCCAACTCCCCCGCCTAATAATTGAATATCCACCTTTTTCAATCAGATGGGGGGGCTGACCGACCCCCCAACCCCCGCGCAGCTTCTTAGACATTTGTCCCTACTTGAAATCATCACTTTTTCGATCATCAGGGGGGGTGCCGCCCCAACTCCCCCTCCTTTAATTGAATCATCACTTTTTCCAAATTCAGCATTGAGGGGGGGCGTGCCAGCCCCCCCAACCCCCCCTCTGCTTTTTAACTTTTGGCCCTACTTGAATCCATTCACTTTTTTCGATCCATCAGGGTGGGCTGCCGCCCCAACTCCGCTCCTTTAATTGAATCATCACTTTTTCAATCAGAATCTACGGGGGGGCTGCCCGCCCCCCCCAACCCCCCCCGCTGCTTCTTAGACTTTGGGCCCTAATTGAATCATCACTTTTTCGATCATCATAGGGGGGCTGCTGCCCCCCCCAACCCCCCCGCTCCTTTAATTGAATCATCACTTTTTCAATCATTATGGGGGGGCTGCTGCCCCCCAACCCCCCCGCTCCTTT